TGCTGAACAATTTCGTAGCAAGTATCCGCGCGCAGTAGAGGGCATAATTAATAGGCATTATGTAGACGATTATGTAGACCCATTTGACTCTGTTGATGAAGCGATCAATGTTACAAAGCAAATTAAGTTAATTCACAGCGCAGCTAATTTTGAGCTTAGGCGTTTCGTGGGAAATTCAAAAGAAGTATTAACTGCGGTCGTCCATGAGCAGAAGTCTGTGCGAGAATCGGAAATTAAAAACATGTTTCACGGCGAATCAGCATCTGAGAAGATTTTGGGAATATATTGGGATGCCAAAAATGATGAATTTTATTTTCAATTAAAGTTTGCGAATGCACCAAATGCAGTGTTAACTGGTAATCGACGACCAAGAAAAGCCGAAGTTTTAGGTTTAATGATGTCGATATTTGATCCGTATGGTTTCTTGGGTAACGTAATTTTGGCTTCGAAGATTATAATGCAAGAACTATACCGCCACAATACGAGTTGGCATGAACCTATACCGGAGAAAATATACGATAACTGGTACAAATGGTATAGCGTATTAAGCAAGGTGGAAGAGTTCAGAGCACCTAGGTGCTATCATCCAAATTTCACTGACTTCGACTCGCAAATCGAATTACACATTTTTGTAGATGCAAGCGAACTTGCGTTCGCTGCAGTTGCATATTGGCGAATACAATATAAAACCAGTGTTACGGTAGTATTTGCATACGGTAAGTCAAGATGCAGCCCAATCAAGCCGTTGTCGATACCAAGATTGGAATTGCAGTCCGCAGTCTTGGGAACGAGACTAAAAGAATCGATCGTCGCCAACCACGACACTCAGCCAAAAAATGTTGTGTTTTAGACAGACTCAAAAACAGTCATTCAATGGTTGCGCTCTGATGCAAGGCGTTACAAGCAATATGTATCAAACCGAATTTCTGAAATCTTACAGTCGACCAATCCTAATCAATGGAGGTGGGTGCCAGGTAAATTGAACCCAGCTGATGAAGGGACTAGATTACATACGTTTTCTCCCAGTAGCAAATGGCTGAATGGCCCACCATTTCTGCGGTTGAGAGAGGATGAATGGCCGTTGATGCCGGACGGAGTGTTATACAAAGAAGCGCAAGTGGAGATGCGCACAAAAGAATTGTACACTGTGCAAAACAATGAAAACGTTATCCCGTTCAACAAGTATTCAAACTACTACCGCTTCTTAAAAATAATGTGTTGGGTTAAGCTCGCAATTACGAAATTCCGTTCATTTATTACTAAAGACAAATTACCCTTACCACGCCAAATAGATGCTAACTTAATGAAAAACACCCAAAATTTTATTTGTCGGATCGTTCAAGAGACGGAGTTTAAAGTTGAGATCGATCTTCTTAAAGAAAACATGCAGCTGAGTAAGTCGAGTACTTTGTGGAAGTTGACGCCTATTCTAGACGAGAATGGCATTCTACGCTTGGGTGGACGTCTGGACAACGCTAGTTGTGTGCCGACATATATGAAGAGACCAATAATCCTCCCAAAAGAGCACGATTTGACAAGATTAATTATCCAGCACTATCATGAAAGTTTTCACCATCAAAACCAAGAAGCGATAGTATGCGCTATTCGTTTTAAATTTTGCATTCCGAACTTACGTCGTCTTGTACACTCGGCAAACAAGAGATGCCAAGTTTGCAAAAATTTAAGCGCTGTTCCACAACCCCCACTAATGGGGCAGTTGCCAATTGATAGGGTCACGCCATACGTCCGTCCATTTACGTGTACGGGAATGGATTACTTTGGGCCAGTCTTGGTAGCGGTAGGACGACGTCGAGAGAAACGTTGGGACGCCGTGTTCACGTGCTTGACGATAAGAGCGATTCATCTGGAATTGGCAAAGGATTTATCGACGGATGCGGTTATACTTTGTTTGCGGAACTTCGTGAATCGGCGAGATGTCCCTGTGCGAATAAGGAGTGACAGAGGCACAAATTTTATTGGCGCGAGCAAAGAATAATGGCTGAATATTGAGCAGAACTTACAGCAAGAATGCCGACAGCGAAGTATCGAATGGGTGTTTAATACGCCCTTGCATCCATCAGCTGGTGGCGCTTGGGAGCGGATGGTCCAAGCGGTAAAGAAAGTACTGGCATTTACGTTAAAAGAGAGACTTTGCGTAGCTTGTTGATTGAGGCAGAAAACTTAATTAATTCACGTCCGCTTACGCACGTGCCAGTCGAGAGCGTAGATCCTGACCCTTTAACTCCGAACCATTTCCTTCTGGGCTGTCCTAGTTTTGTGTAGACATCCGCAGTGCCAGAAGATGTTTGTCTAAAGAAGCAGTGGCACGTAGCACAACAATTGAAACAGACATTTTGGAAAAGATGGGTTTTAGAGTATCTGCCAACGTTGACCCGCAGAACAAAATGGTTCCGGAGAGTTGAACCGATTAAGATTGGCGATCTGGTAGTTATATGTGACGACAATGAGAGCCGCGGGCAATGAAAGCGTGGAATAGTGGAGGACGTTTTCGCGGCAGCAGATGGTCAAGTACGTTCAGCGCTGGTGAAGACAGCACAAGGAATTTTTCTTCGACCGGCATCTAAGTTGGCAGTCCAGGCGCCGATAAGAACTCCTAACATTGCACATGTTTTGCTGATTTTTTAAGTTTCCTTTTAGAATGAGGTTTGCCATTATTATTCGTCCTCTTCCAATTAACTTACATACCATACACAAAGTATTGTTTACGATTTCTATTCACAATGTACTACATATCGGCACCTTAATTCACAAAGTCCCTAACCAGCAAATTTTTTATTTTACAGAAGCAAAAAAACATTACAAAAATAAAAATCATTCATACGTATAGGGCATTTTAAAAAGCGGCATAACTCTGTTGTTTTTGGTACTAACACTTTCAAATGTTTAGTG